ACACACACACACACACACTTGCTAGACTTTTCTGCACAAAAGTGTAAATACTACCCGCAATAACAAAAAACGATCGGTGGAATGGGCGCGGAGGTGTTATCCTTCCACATGAGACTAAGAGCAATTTTTCATGTTGTGCAAAAACCACAAACCTCATGTTACGAAAATTTTGAATCCTGGCAATTGAAAATGTTCTCACCCTGGTATCCTAACCCCCCCCCCCCTACATGCAGAAGTATCCAGCACAGTAAGTTATGAAGAGTCCAAATAAACACAGACTTTATAAAAAAAACTCCTGCAAGATTCTGGAGGTGTCGAGCTCAGGAACAAAAAAAAAATAGGATGGTTTTTCAATATCAGAGGCGATAGCCTTCTTAAATTTTCATCTTGGGTTCTGGCTCCCACAATAATTTTGCTGTGATTTCATAAAGAAGTCTGCGGGTCTGCAATGTTAATCAAAACCCTGGTATCTATAAGAGAAAGGGTGAAAGAAACTCCAGAGAAAAGTATAGAGAAGGGTCAAACACCACTGAGCCTTCAGATGGCCACGCTGAGAAGGTGAGGCACCTTTGAAGTTCAGGAAGTAAAAGACTAGATTCTCTTTTTTTTTCTACTTTCTTCAGCCTGCACTAGACGCCGGGTGTACAGCCTGACAGATCTCTTAGAAGTTTGGCTCATGTACCACACCTGGGCTTTGAAAATCTAGAGACATTTTTATGGGTTGTAGCAAAGGGGGGGGGGGGGGGGGCGAATTCATCTGCACTTCTCATGAGCTAAATTCAGACCACCACACTGGTTGATAACATTTCAGGCCCTGCTCATCCTGTGTCTGCATTAAGGCAAAGTTCATCGAGTCTGCACGCAGTGGAGAGTCGAGGTTCAGCATAAACATAGCGTAGTTTTCTGTCATCCAAACGAATCGAGACAAAAAAAGCAGAAAGAGGCTTTTAAGATGCAAAACAATGGGTTTTTCTGATATAGTTAAAAAAGAATCAGGTGACTAAAAGCGAAAAGAGAAAGTGAAGCTTTGTTTTCCTCCTTCATTTGTTTGACCAATGTCTTGATCCTACACCTGGGTGAGTTTAGATATGAGTCAAGAGAACAAACTTTTCCCTACCTTGGTTTCTGAGAAGCACAACCATTAAAGGGAGTTTTTATTATGGAAATAACAACTGAATATTAATTGATTTAATATAAATACAAATTTAGAATTAATAGTATATCATTAACCTGAAATGTGCCTGTACTCAAGGCATCAAAACTTTTTGCTAGAAGGTTTATAAACAATTAATGAGTCACAAATAGTGCTAATGAATGTCTGATTGACCATACAGTACAGTGTGTGTGTGTGTGTTCTGAGAAGGAGATCAAGAGTGACTAACATACAAACATCTTTCAGGGAAATAATGCGGAGCTAAACTTCAGACTCAGAGGAATCATGCTCATGTGCTCTCTCTGCTCCACTGACTCCAAACTGTAACATGTATCAGTCTGTGGTCCTGTAGTTTTTCAGGGAGGAAATAATCCTTTGATTTATTTTACTCCCAAGAATGGTATCTACTTATTACAAAGTGCCACTATGAGTAGCTGAAGATTGAGTTCCCTTTTAGCAGAAAAGCATCTAACCATAACATAATACCATTTAAAAAGGTGGCAACTTCTACAACATATATTATCACTTTTATTATGTTTATTAGAATGTAATATTTGTAAATGGAGTACAGCTTCTTAGTTAAGTCCTACAAAGTAGAAGTAAGTAAACTCTACATTTATACTCATTGAATAATCAAGTTTCTTTCCAAAGTAGTAGGAAATGATCACTTCACATCACCAAGGAAATTCGAGTGGGCGCCCTCTGTGTCGTGCCTGGCCGCAGACATTTCAGTACAATGCAATACAGAAAAAACAGTAATCAGTAATCACGTCAAAAGAACCAATTTGACGATTACATTTCTTATCACAAATAATGTAAGATGTTTGGGGATGAATGTTTGGAAGTGTATTAATTCTCTTGCTCTCTTTCTGAAAGCAGAAGTAGGACTATTTCAAGGTTTTGACAGTATGACTTGTCACTTCCTGTTCAGCTGTTTATGTGTGCATATGCAGCTTTTCGCAGAAACATCAAGTGCCAATATTTTCAGATAGCTAAACAAGTGCTTCCTCTTACTGAGTAAATATCCTCTTCTAATAACTGAGTGGTGAAGTCCACCACGTTTCGAGCCACAGGCTAAACCCCGCTGCCCTCAATGTCGTTATTCTTTGTTAGGGGGTTAATAAAAACTCAAGGCCGAGAGAACTAAATAAATACACTACTAATTTGTCGTGTGATTTATTAGATACCAAGTATGAAGCCTGTTTCTTCACATGTGAGGTTATTTTTTTACCTTTTGTCAACAAATTCCATGAAAAGACCAAAACTATCAATGAATTGATCCTGCTAACAAGTATTGTTTGTGTATGAAAGCCTGATATCTTCTTCCTCTGTGCCATAGAGCTCCATTGTTGCCATTAAACACACATCAGTGAGGCACACTGTTGCACTGGCTGACACAATCCTTTATTTAAATGAGCACACAGCACTGTAGTTTATTTTGACTCAATCCCACAAACACCTGCTGCCGGAAATACCCACTACTAGACTAACAACAACCACTGAAAATAGTCCCCAACAAATGCACAGTTATCTCCTGTTTTAATAACATAACATAATATATTTGCAACATATTTTTAAAGATTTACATCTCTATTATAAAATAAATGACCTTGAGGTGACACAGGCAGTGCAGGGAAGTATCAAGAGAAGAAAAAAATAGCTTTAT